CTCTCTCTCTCTCTCTCTCTCTCTCTCTCTCTCTCTCTCTCTCTCTCTCTCCACCTCCCCCATTTGTGACGGAGAGCCGTCAGCGAGTTCAGGAAAGACGAAGAGGAAACAAATGAGCCACGACGGCGACGGCAATGTGCCATCACCAAAGAGCGAAGGAGGTTGGACTTTAAGCACAAGCAAACAGAAAGAGAGAAAGGGAGAGCTCGACCTGGAGGTAGGATTTATCACTGCTCGATCGATCGATCAATCGATACATTGATGATCAATTAATTAACTAGTGTACTTAATTAATTAATTGGTCAGCGACCTTCTAGCACAAACGAAAGTTCGCTGATGATACGGTCAAGACCAGGGCGATTTGCCACGTAAGGCTCACAACACGTTACCGCGCATTCTGTGACCCTCCAAACTGCCTCACGGTCGAAAGACCCGACACCCTCGATTCTCTCATCCAAGATGGCCATCACATCGTCGCTCTGGAGGACCTCTCGCGCCCAAGCAACGATCGACCTCTGTCCTCCTCCTCCTCCTCCTCCTCCTCCTCCTCCCCCCTCCTTCGACGTTTTCATTATCGACACAGGAAGCACCGTCCGGTCACATGCCGTTCTTCCCGATATCAACTCCAAAATCAACACCCCTAGACCATAGATGTCAATTCCTCGGTCGATCCTTCCGGCACTGGCGTAATCTGGAGACAGATAGTCTGTATCGTGCAGGCTCCTGAACAATACCCCCAACTCGTAGCCCTCAACCGCGAGCCACGGGAAACCGTAATCAACCATCTTGATTTCTCCTTGCTCCGTTACAAGCACGTTCTTTGCCTTAAGCGCGCCATGCACCAGGGGGCAGAAGCTTCGTCCATTTCCTCCCATTCCTCCTCCCACCAACCCAAGACCAGAAGGCTGCACATGCAAGCATCTCAGAGCTTTGGCTATGGCCAGCGCGATTTCGACACGTCCCAACCAGCTGCTGCTGATGAGCAAAGCCGGGTTGCTAGGCAGGCAGAAGGAGGAGGGCCGAGAGCGTTGCTGGCCTTCGCCGCCGCCGCCAAAGCCATTGTTGTCAGGCGAAACTCGGGAGGGGGAAGAGCAGGCGCGCGGAGGGGGAAGGGAGGAAGGTGACGCGACATGCGGAAGCTGCTGGATCTGGTGCAGGTGAGCGTCCTCCTTGCTCCGCTGCATGAAGTCATGCAGATTGCCGTTAGCAATGTACTCGTAGACCAGCATTCTCTCCCCCTCATCCACGCAACATCCCCACAGTTTGGTCAAAGACGAGTTGGTCATCATGCCTAATGCCTCCACCTGTTTGATGAAAGAGCGGCCCTGACGCATCCCTTCTCTGAATGTCAGCCGTTTAACTGCGATCTCCGAGCCATCCGGTAGAACCCCCTTATACGTGTGGCCGAACCGACCCTTGCCCAAGAGATTGCCCGAGTCGAAGCCGCGTGTGGCCACCTTAAGCTGGTCAAGCGTGAAGAGCAGACAAGCAACCTCTTCAGACACGCAGCTGTCGCAAAGCATGTCTGTCATCGCCAAGCGCGCGGGCAGAGGAGGCGGCGGCGGAGGACCTGACGGCGGCGGCTGCGCGAACATCGGGACCAGACTCGGCCCGCCAGCAGCATCGCCTGCGTCCGCACCGAGCTGCTGCTGATTATCACCGCCGCCCATGCCGTTCTCCGCGGCATTGCGCGCCGCAATCGCAGCGATATGCGGGTTATTAGTCAAAGAGGACGGCGGAGTATGCGGAGGCGGCGGAAGAGGAGGAGGGGAGCGCAGGGGAAGACCGTGGGGAGAAGAGCGTAAGGAAAGAGGAGACGGAATTGGTGGAGACGACCCTACGGGTCGATCTCTCGTGCCGCAGCCGCCACAGCCGCCGCAGCCGCCGCTCGCCGGCATGTGCACCGTTCCTGCTGCTGCCGCGGCGGACACTGGTACTCCTCGTACCGGTGACAAGTGTTGAGGCTTCCTCACCTGGTTTGCACATCCCGACCCCCTTCCGTGACGCGATGGCGACGGGCCTCTTGCCGGCGACCGTTGATGATGTCCGCAACAAGACGACACAGAAGGAGACAGGATCGCTCCACCCCCTCCTTGCCGTACCCCCTTCCTCGGATGGGTCAGGTACCAAATCGATAACACCCCCCCCGTTACCGATGCCATTATTACGATGGCCCCAACAACCATAGTGGCCAAGACGGCCTCCGACATTTTCCCATCTCGGTCATGAACTTTAGACTTCGCCGTAGCTTCCAGTGCCTCCTCCCTCCTCCCCCTTCCTCCAGCATCGGCATCCCCGAGGGACGATGGCGACTGCTGCGTCCGGCTTCTTCCACTGCTAGTGCCGTCACCAACGAACAACGGCCTTCCTCCCCCGCTCCTCGTGTTTGTCTGATTGGCTTGTACCGCTACGACGCCCGCTCCCATCCCCGCCACGCCTGCTGCTGCCCCTCCTCCCATCGATGACGACGCTATGCAATTCTCCTCGTCTGTCCCGTCCCCGCAATCGTTCTTGCCGTCGCATCTACAGCTTGCCAGGATACATCGTCGATTGCCGCAGAGGTACCCAGAGCTGTTCATCCCCCCCCCCCCGCCCACGACGCCGCAGGTGTTGCAATTCTCCTCGTCGTTACCTTCCATGCAATCCTTCACCGTATCACATTTCTTCGCAAGAAGGATGCACTTAAAAGTCACTGGACAATAGAAAGCACCTTGGTTGCAGCCAGGGCAACGCAGTTCGTCGGATCCGTCGCCGCAATCGTCGTCTCCATTGCATCGTTGTAAGTAGTTAATGCACTTCCCATTCAGGCAATTAAACTCAAACATGGTGCAGTTGGGAGGAGGCGAGTCATCAGGAATCAAGAAACCGCCCAAGGCACCAACAACAGAGGCAGAGAGAGTCAGGAGAAGGAGCAGGAGATGGAGGAGGAGAGGGGAAAGTGAGTCGCGGACGATCATCTTCCTGACGTTGGATTGACATAATAATGATAGCCGCTGAGCGTGGAAGGGCATTTTAGATGATGCTGGGACAAGCGAGGAAAGGGGAAAAGAAAGGCCGCCTTGCGCGTGCTCGTGTTCGTGTCCTTCTGCTACCGTCGTCTTTCTCCCCTTGGTGCCGCTACTAGCCATCGACGTGGGACGAGCAAAACTACAGCCACCCTTACTTCCTTTACCTTCACCAAGAGTGGCCGAGCTACTGGTTGTCCCAGGAGGAGCAATCCGCGGATGCACCCAACGTAGCAGCAGCACTGGCACAACAACGGTCCGTACCATAATGCCGAAGCAGACCCGCCCAATATTCCAGTCACGCTTCACTGGGTATAGATATATTTTCCTCCTCTCTCAACTCATCACACCCCACTCCCTCCTACTGGCTCCCTCTCTCTCTCTCTCTCTCTCTCTCTCTCTCTCTCTCTCTCTCTCTCTCTCTCTGTGTGTGTGTGTGTGAGTGTTCGCGCGCGCGCGTGTGGACATATGTAAGTGCACCTTACCAGGTCTTCTAGTGCGGTGAGGTCTTCTAGTGCAGTGAGAAGGTCTTCTAGTGCGGTGAGGTCTTCTAATGCGGTGAGAAGGTCTTCTAGTGCGGTGAGAAAAAGGACTTCCGCACATTACCCTGTGCTCTCCTACAGCCCATGACCCGCCGGACGCTCCTTCCACCCATCGAGACGAGCGGGCAATTAACAAGCCAAGAAGACCACAATGCTCGTAGTCTCTCTCTCTCTCTCTCTCTCTCTCTCTCTCTCTCTCTCTGTGTGTGTGTGTGTGTGTGTGTGTGTGTGTGTGTGTGTGTGTGTGTGTGTGTCTGTCTGCTCAAACAGACGTGTTTAGTGCAAATCCTCTCCTGAGGCTCTTGATGCAGGAAGTTCGCTGCGATATGAGCTCGCGGACGTATTGAAGCCGGAATTGGTATAAGAACCCCATGCCATGTGGGATACACCCGCCAGCAGCTGGCGTGAATTGACCATCACCTCAACCCTCGAGAAAGATACACTCGTGTATCCTAAGTAGGAGCGAGAAAGCTTCTCTCACCTGCAATTGCCACTAAACTTGAGCTGCATTGTCACTACAATAGATCGCCGACACTGAGCGCACGCAGAGCAAGTGTGCGCAGGAAACCGTGCCTTGCTACCGCCTCCTGCAGCCAAGTCTTGTCATTCCTATCTGCACTCAGGCGATCCGATCACGTGCAAGGAAAATGCTCCCTTCTCCAGAGCGATAACAACAATATTGCTGAAGAATCGCGATGCGAGCAAAGCACACACTGTCAGCCAGCCCCACACTATAGAGGCACGGAGAGCAGGACCAGCTGGCCTACTAAATAGAGAGGGAAGACGCGCAGTAGAAACTGGTAACGCTCCCTCCGCTTCAGATCAGTCAATAACAGATTGCCTAATCTGTCACGCTGGACGCTTTCCACGTCGGCAGATGATTGTTGACTGCCTGGGATGCGCTGGGATGCGCCGCCTCGCCTCCTCTTCCTCCTTTCCCGCGGCTTCTTTCACGTTGCAATATGTATACGCAATCGAGGTGAGGCATATAGGCTCGAGACAAAGACGACAACACTAGGGCGACTACTCTCGGCTTCTCTCTCAAGGGCCAAACCGCGCCCTCGCTTCTCCAGCTTCAAAACCCCTTCCTTCCCCCCTCCCTCCTCTCCCCCCCCCTCCCCCGCCCTTCCCCGCTTATCACCTCGCCTCAACGCGGACGCAACCCGAAGCCAACCTGTGAACACCAGCAGACGAGTTTATTTTCTGCGTCGAGGAAGAAAGGTCCCGACTGGTATCTGACTAATTGCCTCATCCGATCTTCAGAGAGAGAGCACACACAGAAATCCTTTCCTCTACACGAAGTTATAGCGTACATTGATCTTCCGCTCCATAACCGGATCGCCTGTCTGGCAATCCTAATAGTAATTTCGTTGAAGAGCAGCGGGAGGAAAAGGCAGGACGACGAGACGTCGATTCAAAGGGAGAGAGATACAGACAGACGCACAGAGCCAGAGGGAGAGATGCAGACACAGAGAGAGAGAGAGAGGGATGCACAGAGAGTAAGAAATGCACAGAGAGAGAGAGAGAGAGTGTAAGAGAATGCAACGGTCGATTCGTCGATTTGCGCGTTCGCTCCTCTGGAGGAGTCAGGCGACAGGGAAAACCAAGAATCGGAATCGCATAATTAGATATCAGCGACGTCTTCCTTCCTGTCAAGACACGTGGCGGCTCTCATAAGAACAATGAGCGACAGTCGAGACGGAGTCGAACCGATTTGCTTCCCTCCCTCCTTTGTTAATATGACCGAATGCTGCTGCTTCTTATTCTACCTTGGACAAGGACGCTTTTTTCGTTAGCGAGCAAGCAGGACACGCTGCTCCAAAATTGCAATCAGCGCCGGTGGTCGATAATGAGTTGATTAGCAGCCGACGCGACAGGGCCGACGCGTCTATCCTGCTTCTATTATGCCTCCTCCTCCTCCTCCTCCTCCTCCTCCTCTCCTTAGCGCCAGCACTAAAGAGCTGCAGAGTGCACCTATTGTTTTATCTTTGGTACACAGGTACTATCTGACACATCACATTGCTTAACGCCTGTCTGCTTCAATGATGCAATCGCGCCGGAAACGACCGGGCAAACACCCACAGGCAACTTCAACCCCACGTGGCGACTAATAATCGTATTCACGTGGCGATCGATAATCGTATCGCTTGACATGTCCCATCGTCAATCAACCAACTGATCCGCAGACACGTGACCACATTAAGCAACACGCTTGGGGTCTCGAGACTCGCCGACCAACTGCTACACGCGTAGTGGCATTCGCCTTGACAAGAAGATACACACCCCAACGGTTCAGCGAAGCACATACTGATTGCGCTGAGCAATCGATCAAAATGCGGTGAGTCCAATGCCAGTCGTCGGGTCAACGGACCGAGGATCGATCTGTCGACGCGAGAGCGATGGAAGGAGAGGGCGAATCAACTCCTCATCGCACTTCCCGCACATAACACCTTGCAACCATACGCAGCTGAATCTTTCTCAAGCGTCCCTCGCCCAATGGACGATAGGAGGAATGCTACAGGTGCCCAATGCCTACGCCCCCAATAGCAACTGAATTGGGAGTCGCACTGACGATGGCACTGTGGTCACTTTTTCCCGTTTGCCTCCCTCGCTCCGTCCTTTCGAGTCCCAAGACTTTCCCTTACCTTACCACCTCGTGATTAACCTCTCTCTCCCTTGCCGACAAGACGCTGGTCGGATCCTGTTCTAATGCCACGACCTGCTCGTCCGTTGGCAAGAACGTACGTGTTTCCCGGGAGCGCCGCGTCGGGGCGTTCGCCAAGCGCTCCCTGCGATTTCCCTCCACACCACCACCCTTCCCCACTCTCCCCAACCCAGCTCTCTCTCTCTCTCTCTCTCTCTCTCTCTCTCCTCCCCCACTTACGGACGCACACACATACAGCACAGGCGCGGACGCACACACATACAGCACAGGCGCGCACGCGCACCATACAGCACAGGCGCGCACGCAACCGACAAACGCGCGCACCGGTGCTTCCTCTCCTTTCCGGGCTTTCCCACCTACTGGAGTCTCCTTATTTTTTGGCTTTTTTCCTCTTCGTCTCTGTGGCCCCGTGAACTCTTCATGCAACCGGCGAAAGATTGTACTCCGGCATCTCGAAGGGTTGGAAGTCTGGACCGGCGGCTAAACGCAGCCCAAGGCAATCGCGATGGCTTGCACGCGACACCCTAAATGTACGGACGGATCATGGCGCCGTGCCATGGCCGTGACACCTCAGCCGACCCGCGAAGTAATTTCCCTCGAGCAAAATTTTGGGCCCAGAATAACAGAAAACAGATTACCTGAGGCACGGCCCTTGACGAAGCCCTGGCCGACATCGAGTACAGTTCGCGGTTCCAGGCCTCCGACTACATGAGTCGGAGTACCTGAGAACCGACCGAGGGAGCCAAGGCATCCGACGCCTGGAAGGCAGGAACTTCTCCTAATCCCCAGAGGGGAGCTCAGGAAAGAACAGAATCAGAACGAACCACAAGTTTTTTTTCCTTCTCTCAATTTCACCTTTCACTGCCTACCTACCACTACTCCTGAGCCTATATATGGGACCCCTGCAAGCATAGCCTATACAGGGGATGCATGTTGCCC